TTTATGCCCCCTTCATCTCCAACTTCTAGAGCTCCCAGTTTATACTGTGTCACTCTCCATTTTCTCCAATCAACCACTTGATGAAGTGCTGTGCTGAGTAACTGACGTCTTTTTGGCACATTGCACTTGTAGACTAAGGGATCACTGAGGCATCTGGTGACATCATTCAAGGGAGTAAAGACAATCAGAACTTTGAAGAGTTGTGAGCTCCAGGGATACTGTTACTGTTATATACCCCTGTTTCTACAAAAGATTGTAAAATCCTTTTTAGGCAAGGGCCCAAGGACAATGACTTAGTTTGGATCCTCTAGAAATGAACCCTTGGAAAAGGGAATGGGTGCGGGTAGTTTGTTCGGGAGACCTCCCAAGACATACGGGATGGGGGAGTGGGATGAGTAATTCAGGGAAGAGAGAAGAGCTGGTTATCACTGTGGCTCAGCCCAACTGGGGACGTTTTAAAGAATCATGTTAAACAGATTTCCACATTTTCTTTTAAAACTGGATATTAAGCCCACATGCCCCTGATGCTTTCCCTCCCCCCGCCCCCCTCAACAGGCCACAGTGTATGTTTTTCCCCTCCCAACGTCCATACGTTCTCATTGTTCACCTCCCACTTACAAGTGAGAACTGGCAGTGTTTAGTTTTCTGTTCCTGTGTTAGTTTGCTGAGGATAATGGCTTCCAGCTTTATCCATGTCCCTGCAAAGGATGTGAACTCATTCTTTTTTATGGCTGCATAGTATTCCATAGTATATATGCACTACATTTCCTTTATCCAGTCTATCATTGATGGACATCTGGGTTGATTCCATATCTTTGCTATTGTAAATAGTGCTGCAATGAGCATATGCATGCATGTATCTTTGTAGCAGAAGGATTTATATTCTTTTGGGTATATACCCAGTAATGAGATTGCTGAGTCAAATGGTATTTCCGGTTGTAAATCTTTAAGGAATCATCACACTGTCTTCCACAATGGTTGGACTAATTTACATTCTTGCCAACAGTGTAAAAGCATTCGTATTTCTCCACAGCTTTGCCAGCATCTGTTGTTTCTTGACTTTTTAATAATTACCATTCTGACTGGCATGAGATGGTGCCTCACTGGGGTTTTGATTCGCATTTCTCTGATGATCAGTGATGTTGAGCTTTTTTTCATATGTTTGTTGGCTGCATAAATGTCTTCTTTTGAGAAGTGTCTGTTCATGTTCTTTGCCCACTTTTCGATTTTTTTTCTTGTAAATTTGTTTAAGTTCCTTATAGATTCTGAATATCAGATCACAAATTTTCTTAATCTGTCTCCTGTGATGGGAAGCTAAGCTATTTGTTCACTGGCTCCCAATGCCCACTGGATGTCAGAGATGCTAAATCCCTTTCTCTTTCAGACTTTTATGCATGCAAGGTATGCAAGCTCCCAAGGGCCCAGAGAAAACCCACAGCAGAAAAGTAGGGACTAATTTTGGAGGTAGGAGGCTGTCAATGTGCATTGGCTATTAGTTAGCCATAAACAGGAATGAATTGGCTATTAGTAAGCCATCCTGCAGAGATGCTTTCATTACCCACAGTCCTTTGCCAGATGGGACTGATGCCCAGGTAACTGACTCCTCACCTCACTCGGGCCTATACCAAGGATATAAAATTTGGTGCAGATGCTCAAGCCTTAATGCTTCAAGGTGTGACTTTTTATCCAATGCTATAGCTGTGACAACAGGGACAAAGGGAGAACAGAGTTAGAGAAGTCCCAAAGTAACAAAAGATGTTTTGACTGTTGCAAAATCAACTGACTTAAAGGATAAATATAACTGATCTTTACATACAAAAGAAGAGAGAGGCAAGTGAAAGGCAGGGAGAAAGATTCAGACAGAGAGAGACTCACTGAAAAAGAGAAAAAGGCACAGAGTAAAAAACATTGAGATACAAAAAAGAGAAGAAACTGAGTGAGAAAAATAAAACACAAGGATAGACATGTCAGGAGAAGAGTGAAATTCGAAAGAAGTAAGAGAACTAGCATACTCTTAACCTTCAAACGCCCCCTGGGAAATGGAAGACTCTCGAGTTAAACACCCCCTTCTGCTAAGGGAGCCTAGAAAGCCCAAGACAAGATGTGCCTTCTTTCCTTGGTAGGCTAGAGAGCCTCCAATTGCTGAGGATTGGAAACCGCCTATGAAGCCCCACCTTCCCCCAGGGTAGGCACCAGCTAGTCACACTGATGGCCTCAGGGATCTGGTGTTCCTGATGAAGGGAGTCTGCCTGGCTTATCTCCAGGGCTGTCTCTTGGAGTGCTGGGCCACACCAGTGCAGGCAAAGTGCAGAGGTAGGAGCAGCTGAGCAGCCTTTCTTAGTTTTGGTGCCATCAGCCAGGTCAGTACTTCCTAACATGGGACTCTCAGGATTTCTGCCAATCCTGGTACCATTCATCCTTCTAGGGGATGTCCAGGGACCTGGGCACGCTGAAGGGTCCTTTTGGGGTAAGTATTGGGAACTCAGTCCTTGCAGTGGAGAAAGGAAACTCAGTGAGAAGGAAGGAATAAAGAATAATTTTGCAGATGAGGAATTATTTTCTCCATCTCTGCCTGGAGTTCCAGGTGGGAAATAGGGGAGCTATCTGGAGTCTCTCGGTAAGAGACTCACTTGGTGAATATAGGCACCTGAATCTGGGGCAACTGACTCCTTGCTGCCATTCCAAAGAGTTCTTCCTGGAGGTGCCTGGACCTAGAGCTCATGAAATGGAATAAGAAGGAGTGGTAAGCCCAAGGAAGTTTCCCGTAAGGAAAACAGGCCACTCCCTACAATACCACCTGTGTCAGCTTCCAGATGTTCTCACTGCAGCCCCCACACCCATAGTCACAGAGGACCCTAGCCTTTGGGATACAGAATGGCCTCCAGAAGTCCCTTGGAATGCTGAAATGTGAAGACCCGCAATTAGCAGCTCAATATACTGAGCACGAAAATTGTGGTTGAAAGTGAGCACTCAGGAGCCACAACATTGCAGGTTCAAATCCTGGCTCTGCCCATGAGTAGCTGTGTGACCTTGGCAAATTCATATAATCCCCTTATGCTTCCAGTTTCTCTGTTTATAAAATGTGAATATTAGCAGTACTTACCCATAAATTTGTAATGAGGATTAAGGACAAAAGGCCAGCACACAGTAGGGGCATCATCCATGTTACTCACTGGTATGTTATGTTATATTGCCCCAGGCAGTTTGACAATGGCTTTTCAAACTGTGTTGCTGCATTAGTCTTCAAAGCAACCCTATGGACCAATGAGAAAATCAGGGCTCAGAGAGAGTGCCTGGCACATCAAGGGTTGCACAGAATTCAAAAGGCCAGCTCTCTGATGCCAGAAGTGTTCATCTCAATCATTGAGAGTCATAGCGCCTCCTGGGGGAGCAACCAAGCATAGCAAGGGCTGAGTGACCAGATCGTCTCAGAGGAATGTGACTTTCTCTCAGGAACCTCGTAGATGGTGTGGCTAGAGGGTAGGGGTTGGTTTAGGGATCTGATGGTGTGTTGTTATGGGGTTGGGGATGTGGGCAGTCTTTCGAAATTCCTGAGCCCCCTGAGGGCCACTGTCTTCTGGGGACAGGTGAAGTGGAAACAAGGTTTTCTAACTCTGCAGTGGTGCCCTGGGTCTGGGGAGGCGGAGCACTGGCTCCTTTAAGGCCTCGAAAGAATATATCTTCCCCTCTTTTAGATCTATGTCCCAAAATCCCAGTGAGATGCCCAATGGATGAAATAGACCACTGTACCAAACGCAGAGATGGCCCGGAAAACATGAAGTGTTGCATGTACAGTGGTGGAAAGAAATGTGTAGCTCTCACAAAAAGTAACTCAGATACTTTCTGAATTACCCAATGTCCTCATCTCCTACACCCACCTGCACTGCACTAACTCTCCTGGTTCACTGATGGCTGGTCTCTGACCAAGAGTCTAGGTATGTCTTCTACTTGACACAAATCTACCAGTCTTGGACTTGGGAGACATGATTTTATTTCATTTTTTCCCCTATTTTGATACGTGATGTGAACAATGTAGTTTTCCTTTCTGGGCCTCAGTTTCCCTATCCATAAGACAGGTGTTGATATTAGACAACATGGTCTTTTGGCTACTCTTCAGTGATTCTCGAGATGCCAAGTAGTCACTGAAGTCTCATCAAATGCCAACATTGTGTCAGGTTATGTGTTAGCTATAAGAGATAAGTATATAATACGTATTTCCTGTTTTTTTTTTTTTTCTCCAGGTTTCTCTGTCTATATAAATCCAGGATGTCTTCCTTGACCACCTTAGACTGCCTACACTCTTTCTTCTCTGTCCATATGACTGGGCTCTAAAGAAGACCGTCAAAGACTATTCATCCATTCTATTCATTCAACAAACATTGATTGGTTCCCTGACACCCATGATGAGTTCCACTTGCTCATTGTGGCCAGGAAGATCCGAAAAGGTTTTTCTGGGAAAGGGATCCATGATTTAAGATCTGCAAGATGAGTACTTAGACCAAAAATGGTACAAAATACCCTTTCAGGCACAGGTAATAGCATGTGCAAAGGCTCTGTGGCAGGAGGCAGCATGTTCAGGCCTAGAAAGACTGGAAAGCAGAGAGGGAGGAAGAGATGAGAAAGAGGAAGCTGGTAGTGTGTATTCAGGGCAACTTGAATCTGCACTCCCAGGCGGCCATCCTCAAGTTTTGGGCTCAAATAAACTCTCTACTTAACCATATGTTCTGAATCTTGTTACTTAAGGTTGACATGCTTATCAAGACAATAACTAGGTTTTCAGTGCTTTGACAAAACATCGGATGTGTGGCCTTCTGGCCAAGCACCTGTGGTTTCATATTGTTCAAGCATTTGTTGCATCCCTAGGGACTGCAGCTCTATATAAGCTCGCTGTTGCTGAACCAAGAAATGAGGCATACACAGATTTCGACAGAAATTGTAATTCTAGAACAGATTTTGAAGAGATGAGGAAGGCTTGTGTCTTTCAGAGTGCAAAGTGACTTTGGAATTGAAAGAATTTCTCTGGGTTGAAGTTTCTCACTGACCTGTGTTCCTGAACCATGAAGCATGAATATGTGGGCTGAGAAATAGTTTCTCTTGATAAATAAACAATTAACAAATTTTAAAAAGAGAGAAAGATGAAGCTGGGCTAATGGAGAAGGAGAACAGGTAAGGGGTCTGGTCTTGATCCCAACAGCAATGGATTAACCTATGTTCAAATCCTTTACCATCTGTGTGTCTTCAGGAAAGTTATTTGGCCTCTTCAAACCTTACTTTTCTCATTTGCATAATTAGAACAATAAGAGGAACTACTTTATAAGGTTATATGTTAATAGATGTCAACTACTAAGAATAGTGCCTGACACTCATCGATGCTATAATTATTGTTTTGTCATGTTTCAGACTATGAGGTTCTAAATAACTCTATTTGTACCTCATAGCACTATGGGCAAAATAGTTGCTCAATAAATGCTTCTTTAAGACCACAGTAGGTTTGGGTTTTGGGTTTTTTTTCTGTGAATACTCATGAAGCATCCTTTCTATGCCAAATTACCCGTGAGAAACTGCTGTATCAAGATGGCATAAGATGCGATCCCCTCTCAAAAACCTCACATTGTCATGGTGGAGTCAGAAAACATGAACAAGAAAGTAAATGGAAATGATAAATGTGTGTGTAAGATCGAGAAGCAATAAAGAAAAGCAAGGAGTAAAGAATGAATCCAGGAAAGACTGCAGAAAAGGGTCCATGTCTGGCAAGGGTTTTAAAGAATGAACAAGAGTGCATTTATCAAGAGGGGGCTGGATGTGTCAGGTCAGGCATGTGCAAAGGCATGGCGTATGTAAGAACGTGCTCTTTTTAGAGCACACAGTTGGGAAGCTTGGGTGCTGGGCAGCATAAGAAACAGCTGGAGAGGAGGAGGAGGAAATGGATCCCCAAATCCCTCTGGGTTTGGTAGAACTTTATCCTGTGCCCAGCAGATCAGCCATTCTGGAAACCAGTGTGGAGCAGACTGGAGAAGTCTTTGAGATCAGCTGGTGGCCTGCCTTTCGTGGAAGTCCTTGCAAAAGATAATGATGCTTGAATTAAGAAAGTGGCAGAAAGGAAACAAAGAAGAGCTATTTAGGAGGCAAAATCAGCCAGATTTAGTGTTCAGATGTTTGGGAGGCAAAGAAAAAGAAGCCATGTGATGCCACAGCTGCTCCTTCCAGCAGCCCTGTTAGGCGAGCAGGGTGGGATTTTTGTATTCTCATCTTACAGATGAGGAAGTCAAGGACCAGAGAGGTAAAATGAGTGGTCAAGATTCACACTGAATTGGGAGCAGAGCCCTGAGCCAAATTTGTTCCTTAGTGGACACAAAGAGAGCAGTGGCCAGAGAAAAGGAGAGATGGACATTCTCCAGGGAGACAGGCACCCAAACAGCTCTGTTCTGCAATCTCCCTGCAGATATACGCGGTATGCCGCCAGACCCTGGCTACTGCTTGGCCTTCGTCCCACGCTGGTGGTACAATAAAAAAACTAAGACCTGCTCTGAATTCATTTACGGAGGTTGCCCGGGGAACAACAACAACTTCCAAACTGAAGATATCTGCATGGTCACCTGCCAAACACTCCGTAAGTCCCAGAGGTCCCAGTCTCCTGTGCTCACCAAGGCCACACCGGGAGGTCTGGGTGTTGGCTGGTCTATTCAAAGACCTGGGTGGGCCTGGGGATGACAGAAGCAGCTCCAACGCAGTGGTACAAGTTGAAGGATGTTTGGGAAAGAGAGGGTGGGAAGGGAGGGATTAGTCAAAGGGATATTGGCAAGTATGAGGTGAGTAGGGGGTGTAGAGAGCAAACAGAAGTGGTGGAGTATCCCAGACCAGGTCAGAAGGAGGCCCAGTAAATCCAGCCCAGCTCTGAGCACCATTCACCAGCCAATCATTATAGGCCTTTACTTTGCACTAAACCTTGTTGCTAATTCTCTCCCTTTTAAAGGTTATTTCTAACCAAGGCAATCACGTACTTCATTGGCCAAACCAAGTCACTTTTGAGAATGTCTTAAACTGAGGTGCCATTAATTATTACACTGGGACAGCAGGCATAAACTGGGACTCTCCTGGACAAACCAGAACCCATGATCATTCTCACCTTCATTCCATTCCTGCCAAAAGATGTAAAATTGATCCCACCTCCTTTTTCTCATTAGCTGCAAGATTTGGTTCCTAATGTGGCCAGGGTCCGAGCATCTCACCCTTTATTCTACTTCACAGGTTGGCCTAAATAGCATAAGGAGGAGCTTGAACAACCTCCAGGATTTGCTTCACAATCCAGGCCTCTCTCCATGTGTGCCTGATTGGTGCTCCATATTGGCTCCATGGGCCAAACCTTGGCTGTTCCAGAAACTGAACCCCAGGAATTGCTAACACCCTTTCTTTCAGCGTAGCTTCTCTTCAAACACAATGCCCTTCCCTTTGACCACCTCTCAGTATGAAACTCTGTGTCTTCAACTTTCAGAACCCCTATGTATTCCTATGAAGCCTTCAGTTCGCTTAATAAAGTGCACTGATCTCTCTGAGGCTGAATAATTTGTATCTGCAATATGCTGATATTTACATATACTCTCATCTGTCTGTATGCAATTTTCAGAGAACGAGAAATCATTGCACTTTCTGGTAACACTGAAAAAGGGAGAGAGGAGTATGAAAATCCTGCAAATTGAGAATGCTGGTGACATTGTTACTTTAGTAAAATTGTTGTAAGATGCTTAAGAATGGAGCCAGTGCAGATCCAGATTTTGTGTGGTCTAAACCTGATAAATCAGGAGCTCCTTTAGAAACCAAGCACAGGCCAGGTGCCGTGGCTCATGCCTGTAATCCCAGCACTTTGGGAAGCTGAGGCCAGTGGATCACCTGAGGTTGGGAGTTTGAAACAATGTGGAGAATCCCTGGCTCTACTGAAAATATAAAAAATTAGCCAGGCATGGTAGTGCATGCCTGTAATCCCAACTGCTCAGGAGACTGAGGCAGGAGAATTGCTTGAACCTGGGAGGCGGAGGTTGCAGTGAGCCGAGATTGCGCCATTGCACCCCAGCCTGGGCAACGAGAGCGAAACTCTGTCTCGAAAAGAGAAAGAAAGAAAGAAAAAGAAAGAAGAAAGAAAGAAAGAAAGAAAGGAAGGAAGGAAGGAAGGAAGGAAGGAAGGAAGAGACAAAGAAATAAACCAAACACAAATTAGTACAAAAGAGAATATTATTTCAAATGAGGAGGGAAATTGCAACTGTAAATTTTTAAAGGCTGACAAACACTAAAAATTGCACAAAACCCACAAAAACTAATAATCATTGTTTACATTTATGACATCAATTCTGTAAAGCACAATTTCTGTGGAGAGAATGGAAAGATAACTCTTTTATTTAACGTGGTGATCAAAATATGATTATATTTTATTATAGGTGAGTTGCATAATACATACCTGAGGCCGGGCGCGGTGGCTCGAGCCTGTAATCCCAGCACTTTTGGAGGCCGAGGAGGGTGGATCACGAGGTCAACATGGTGAAACCCCATCTCTACTAAAAATACAAAAAGATTAGCTGGGCATGGTGGTGCATGCCTGTAATCCCAGCTACTCGGGAGGCTGAGGCAGGAGAATTGCCTGAACCCAGGAGGCAGAGGTTGCGGTGAGCCGAGATTGCGCCATTGCACTCCAGCCTGGGTAACAAGAGAGAAACTCCATCACAAAAAAAAAAAAAAAAAAAAAAAAAAATACCTGAATGCTTGAAGCCACGCTTGAGGTCTGTAGTTCTGTTACAGGTTTGTGTCCAGAAACACAGGAATTTTAATAAATTATCTTTTATATAATTCCATCAAAAAAAAGAAAAAATGCATGGTACATTTCAAATTGTACATATTGAAGAATCAAGTACACGCTTACTAGAAAAGAACTTCTGAACAGGCTTCCATAAGAACTGATTTTTTTTCTATTTAAAATTTGATGTATCTGGCCGGGCATGGTGGCTCATACCTCTAAGAGAAAAGTAAAGGCAGAATGATCACTTATAATATTACTAAATTGGGCCAGGCACAGTGGCTCACACCTGTAATCCCAGCACTTTGGGAGGCCAAGGTTGGCGGATCACCTGAGGTAGGAGTTTAAGATCAGCCTGGCCAATATGGTGAAACCCTATCTCTACTAAAAATACAAGAAATTAGCCAGCATGTTGGCATGCACCTGCAGTCCCAGCTACTCGGGAGGCTGAGACACGAGAATCACTTGAACCTGGGAGGTGGAGGTTGCAGTGAGCCAAGATCATTCCATTGCATTCCAGCCTGGATAGTGGAGTGAGACTCCATCTCAAGAAAAAGAAAATTGACGTATCTGATATTTGAAAGAATGCTCTACAGGCTTGTCTTCCTGGCTCCATACATTTCAAAACTTGCTTCTCCTCTACCACCTGTATCCATCTTGGGCTAAGAACATTCATTTTACAACACATCCTCTAGTCACATAACTTAGTGTTAAATGTCAAGGGAATTGGCCCAGTAGACAACAGGAGTATTATTTGCTGCTGCTCCTACACCAGGACAGCTAGCAGCAACTTCCTATACATAGAAATGACAGCAGACAACCTAAATATATTCGACTAACTCCAAAATAAACATACCCCCAAATCAACTTCCTTTTAATCTGCATGCCTAAAATGCTGGCAGTCGCCCCAACACCACCTGACCCAGGAGAAGTGTGACAGAGGGAAAGGTCAGAGTGGAAAGGGAAGGTGGATTGGTTGATTGTGGTTAGAATATCTTACTTTTGCAGATATTAAAAGTCATCTGAACATGTAAACATATAGCTAGAAGCACTCGCAGAATCTTAAAAGGGGCTTGCTCAAGCGAGGGACCCTGAGGCTTGGCTCCATCAACCCCATGGTAAGTCCATCTGTGAAAGGACTCACTGCCTTGTTTTCTGGAGTTGTAGTAGAGGAGACGGTTCCATAGTATGGTGCAGAAACTCCAAAATTGAAAATAGAGGAGAGAGTCATGAAAAGGGGAGACAGAGGAAAGCAACAAAGAATTAAAGAGGAAGGGAGAGAAAGGAGGGGTGAAGGAGGAAAAGACACTGACTGGATGGTGTGACTGTTTTAAAGCAAGGTCCTAAAATTCTTTTACTCACCTTCCACCTAGAAATGGGATCTATGTCCCCTCCTTTTGAATCTGAGAAAATTCTGTGACTGCTTTGACCAAGAGAATAAAGCAAAAATGATGCTCTATGACCTCCAAGGCTAGAATGAGTGCAACTCCCACTTGGTCCTCTTGGGTAGCTTGTCTGGGGGCAGTGGGAAACTGCCATGTAAGACACCCAACTACTCTGAGAGAGGCCCATGCTTGAGAGACCCATGTGGGTGCTATGATCAACAGGCCCAGATAAGCTCTGACTGATAGCCAGCATCTGTTCCAGCCATGTGAATGATCTGCCCAGCCCAAGAGAGCCTTCAGATGGCTGCAGCTCCAGCAGACACCTGACTCCAACCATGGGAAACACCCTATAAAAGAACCACCAAGCAGATTCCTTTCAGATTCCTGACCCACAGTATAAAATGGCTGCTTTAAAGTGCTAAGTTTTAAGAAAATTTATTCATAGAATAGGTGATCAAAGACGGAAAGGGGCTAGGTGCAGTAGCTCACGGCTGTAATCCCAAGCACTTTGGGAGGCCAAGGCAGGCAGATCACTTGAGGTCAGAAGTTCAAGACCAGCCTGGCCAACATGGCAAAACCCTATTTCTACTAAAAATACAAAAAATACAAAAATTAGCCAGGCATGCTGGTAGGCACCTGTAATACCACCTACTCGGGAGGCTGAGGCAGGAGAATTGCTTCAGCTCAGAAGGCAGAGGTTGTGGTGAGCCGAGATTACACCACTGCACTCCAGCCTGTGTGGCAGAGGGAGACTCAGTCTCAGAAAAAAAAAAAAAAGGATGGAAAGGGAGTGGAAGGATAGGGAGAGAAGAAGAAAGATGCCCAGAGGACTGGGAAAGATAAGCTGGTGCCAGGCTTGAGAAGGGAGCCTCACATCAGGCAGCTTGTTGTCATAGCACACCAAGACTTCCTATCCTTTGTCAAATAAGTTTATTGTTTAATATAACTTGGATCAAGGGGCTCCAAAGAGGCTGGCATTCACTTCTCATTGATGCTGTTGTCATCCCTGTTTCCTTCTCTTTAGAAAGGGCTGGTTAAACTGAATGTAGAAAACTCTAAAGATACTGCCAAAAGAAAAAAAAAGGTTAGAATTAATAAATTCATTAAAGTTACAGGATACAAAATCAACATACAAATATTAATGGAAATTTTCTACACCAAGAACAATCTCATTACATTAGCAGCTACAACAGCAAAAACACTTAGTAAAACTTGTGCATTGAAAATTATAAAACATCAATGAAGGAAATTTAAAAGACACAAATAAATGGAGACATCTCATGCTCATAGATTAGAAGAATTAATGTTGTCAAAATGTCCATACTACCCAAAGCAATCTACAGAGCACATGCAATTTCTGTCAAAATGTCAATGGCATTTTTTACAGAAACAGAAAAAGCAATGCTAAAATTCATACGGAACCACAAAAGATCCCAAATTTCCAAAGAAATTTTGAAAAAGAACAGAGCTGTAAGCATCACATTTCCTGATGTCAAATTACATTGCAAAGCTAGAGTAATCAAAACAGTGTGGTACTGGAATAAAAACAGAAAAGCAGACATATAGGCCAATGGAACAGAACAGAGAACCCAGAACTAAGCCCACCTATTACGGTCAATGGATCTTTGACAAGGGTTCCAAAAACACACAGGCAATGGAAGATCTCTTCAACAAATGGCACTGGGAAAACTAGATATCCACAGGCAAAAGAATGAAATTGGACCCCTATCCAATACCATACACAAAATTCAACTTAGAACAGATTAAAGTCTTAAATATAAGACCTAACACTATAGAAATTTAAAAAATCTTGAAGAGATATTGGCACTTCCAAGTTCATGGAAGCATTATTCACAACGGCAAAGATATGAAAACAACCTAAGTGCACATGAACAGATAAATGAATTAAAAACTGTGGTGTGTGTGTGCATACACACATGCGTATACACATACATATGATATATATATATATATATACACATTATACAATACATGTATACATTGTATGTGGACACATACATACATACGCACACACAATGGAACAATATTCATCATTTAAAAAGTAGGAAATCCTATCATCTGCCACAACACAGATGAATCCAAAGGACATTATGTTAAGTGAATTAAGCTGGACACAATAAGACAAATATTGCCCGATCTCACTTATATGTGGAATCTGAGATAGCCAAACTTGGGCTGGGAGTGATGGCTTATGCCTGTAATCCCAGCATTTTGGGAGGCCGAGGCAGGAGGATTGCTTGATGCCAGGAGTTTGAGGCTGCAGCCTGGGTGACAGAGTGAGATCCTGTCAAATAAATAAATAAATAGAAATAGTCAAACTCATAGAAGCAGTGAGTACAATGGTAACTACAAGGGGGATGGGGTAATGGGGTGGGGGAAGGAGAAAAATGAGAAAATATTGGTCAAAGGGTACAAAGTTTCCATTTCACTTACGTAAGATGAATTAGTTCTGGAACCTAATGTACAGTATGGTGACCACAGTTAACAATACTGTATTGTATACTTGAAATTTGCTCAGAGGGTGGATCTCAAGTGTTCTCATCACACAAGAAAAGGTTAACTATGTAAGGAGGTATATATGTTAATTTGCTTGAGTGTGGTGATCATTTTACACATTATCAATATAGCAAGTTGCACACCTTAAATAGATACAATTCCTATTTGTCAATTATACTTCAATAAAGCTGGGAGGAGAAAAGTTAAAACTCTTAGGAAAAAATATAAGAAAAAATCATCTTGACATTTATCTTGGCAATTAGTTTTTGGACATGACATCAAAATTACAGGCAACAAAAATAGACAAATGGGATTATATCAAACTAAAAACCTTATGCAAAGCAAAGGAAACAATCAACAAAATGAAAAGGCAACCTACTGAATAGGAAAAAATA